TCTCTGAGAAAATTGAGTTTCTGCCTTTATTGTTGCCATGGTGCTCTGCAATTCCAATAATTCTAATGTTAGATTTCTTAACTGAATTGCACATTTCCCTTTTAGTCTGTTCTCTTTTCTTTGCTCTTTTGTCTCTGTCAATAACTTGTCAGTTATTTTGTCTTCTAGTTCACTTATTCTATCTCCTGTCTGTTTGACTCTATTGTTGAGTGTTTCTCTTGCTTTTTCTAATTCAGATGTTTTATTCTTCAGTTCCAGTAGTTCTTTTTGGCCCCTTGTTAAGTCTCTCATTTTGTTCCCCTATTTGTTTCCTGATTTCTGCTGTATGCCTTTTGCTTTTTTTAAACATATTCAGCACCATAGCCCGAAAATTATCAATCCTTTGCGTTATTCTGGCCTCCATAGGAGAGGTTTCCTCTTCATCATGTTTTGCTTTTGATTGTTCCTTCTTCTCTTGTGATTTCGTGTGTTTCACTATCTTTTGCTGAACTTGAGCCATTTTATTATTTATTTATTTATTTTCCTTTAGCTTTTTAATTCTGTTTATTATGGGAAAATTTGCAGCTTGGGTGCCGTGGTGGCGCAGTGGCCTAGTGCTTGGCTGTCAACCAAAAGGCCAGGGCCCACATCCACCAGCCGCTCCCCAGGCGAAAGATGTGGCAGAGCACCTCCACAAAGAATCACAGCCCACGTAATCCCAGGAGGGAGGGTCCCTCACCCTTCAGTTTCACCATGAGTTAGACTGGTGCAGCGGCAGTGGGCTTGGTATCTTCTGATAACCACTAGATGGCACCGTAGCCGTTAGGATTTTTTCAGTGCTGGTTCAGGAGCTCTAGATGTTTTATCTCGGATTTCAATACACATGCGGGGGGGCGGGGGTTAGGTGGTTGCAGATGCTGATGTAAGTGGTGGGTATCGACCTTCTTGTGGCGACAGTGGGGAGTTCTCTTTATCCCTCACCAGTGCTCCTGCACAGCCCACATGGTGTCCTGCTGGGGGCTGGGGACCACCTCCTGTGTGCCTGCCAGTCTGCAGTATTCCCCTTATCCCACTGCCCTTGCTAATCTTCCCAGTCCCAGTCCCTGTCTGTCTTGGTCCTCTGTGAGACCCAAGAGCATTCTCACACAGCCCCCTTCGCCCCATCCCAACTGCGCAGCCTACAAACTCTCACATCCAATTTGTGCCGTCTTAAAAAAAAAAAAAATCCATTTCGTCTCACTAATGCCTAGGATATTAATTTTTATGTGTTCCATTTCATTTTTGACGATTTCCAATTTTCCTAAATTCAAACTTCATACATTCCACGGTCAGGTTATTAATGGATGTTTGCAGCTGTTTCTTCTCATTTTGAGTCGTGCCACATCAGCAAATGAAAGTCTCGAAAGCTTGACTCCACCCACGTCATTAAGATCGACTCCCTGGTGGTGCAGTGGTTAAGAGCTTGGCTGCTAAACAAAAGGTCAGCAGTTTAAATCTACCAGCTGCTCCTTGGAAACCTATGGGGCAGTTCTACTCTGTCCTGTATGGTCACTATGAGTCAGAATTGACTCGACCGCCAATGGGTTTGGTTTTTGGTCTTCTACTTTGAGGAGGCAGCTCTTCCCCAGCCGTATTTTGAATGCCTTCCAATCTGAGGGGTTCATTTTCCAGTACTATATCAGACAATGTTTTGTTGCTATTTGTAAGGTTCTCACTGGCCATATTTTTTCAGAAGTAGACCACCAGGTTCTTTGTCCTAGTCTGTCTTAGTCTGGAAGCTCCGCTGAAATCTGTCGACCAAGGGTGACCCTGCTGGTATTTGAAATGCCAGTGGCAAGGCTTATGGCACTTCAGCAACACATGAGCCACCACAGTACAACAAACTGACAGACTACTATGCTGGGAATAACAAATTGAAGAGGAAGGCCGTCACGTTCATCATCAAAAAGAACATCTCAGGATCCATCCTGAAGTACAACACTGTTAGTGATAGGATAATATCCATATGCCTATAAGGAAGACCAGTTAATAGAACAATTATTCAAATTTATGCACCAACTACTAATACCAAAGATGAGGAAACTGAATATTTTCACCAACTTCTTAAGTCTGAAATTGATCAAATATGCAATCAAGAGATACTGTTAATTTACGGTGATTGGAATGTGAAAGTTGGAAACAAAGAAGAAGGATCAGTAGTCGGAAAATATGGCCTTGGAGATAGAAACGAAGCTGGAGATCGCATGACAGAATTTTGAAGGATCGATTGACTTATTCATTGCAAATACCTTTTTTCAACAACATAAACAGTGACTATACACATGGACCTCACCAGATGAAAACACAGGAATCAAACAGACTACATCTGTGAAAAGAGATGATGGAAAAGCTTAATATCATCAGTCAAAACAAGGCCAGCGGCTGACTGCTAAACAGACCATCGGCTACTCGTATGCAAGTTCAAGTTGAAGCTGAATAAAATTAAAACAAGCCTATGAGAGCCCAAATACAACCTTGAGAATCCCATCTGAATTTGGAGGCCATCTCAAGAACAGATCTGACGCACTGAACACTAATGACCAAAACCAGATGAGTTGTGGGAAGACATCAAGGATATCAACAAGAAGAAAGCAAGAGATCATTAAAAAGACAGGAAAGAAAGAAAAGACCAAAATGGATGTCAGAAGAGACTCTGAAACCTGCTGTTGAATGCAGAGTAGCTAAAGCAAATAGAAAAAATGATGAAGTAAAAGAGCCGAACAGAAGACTTCAAAGAGCAGGTTGAGAAGATAAAGTAAAATATTATAATGAAATGTATAAAGACCTGGACTTTGAAAACCAAAAGGGATGACCACGCTCAGCATTTCTGAAACTGAAACAAGTGAAGAAAAAATTCAAGCCTCGAGTTGCAATTCTGAAGGATTCCATTGGTAAAATATTGAATGACGCAGGAAGCATCAAAAGCAGATGGAAAGAATACACAAAGTTTAACTGTACCAAAAAGAATTGGTCAACATTCAACCATTTCAGGAGGCAGCATATGATCAGAACTGATGATGCTGAAGGAAGAAGTCCAAGCTGCACTGGAGGCATTGGGGAAAAACAAGCCTCCGGGAATTGATGGAATACCAACTGAGATGTTTCAGCAAATTGATGTAGTGCTGAAGGCATTCACTCATCTATACGAAGAAATCTGGAACACAGCTACCTGGCCAACTGACTGGAAGAGATCCATATTTGTGCTCATTCCAAAGAAAGGTGGTCCAACAGAACACAGGAATTATTTAACAATATCATTACTATCACGCATAAGTAAAATTTTGCTGAAGGTAATTCAAAAGTGGTTGCAACAGTACACTGACAGGGAACTGCCAGAAATTCAAGCCGGATTCAGAAGAGGATGTGGAATGAAGGATTATCACTGTTGATGTCAGATGGATCTTGGCTGAAAGCAGAGAATACCAGAAAGACGTTTACCTGTGTTTTATTGACTATGCGAAGGCATTTGACTGAGTGGATCATAACAAATTATGGATAACACTACGAAGAATGGGAATTCCAGAACACTCAATTGTGCTCACGCGGAACCTGTACATAGATCAAGAGGCTGTCGTTCAAATAAAGCAAGGGGATGCTGCATGGTTTAAAATCAACAAAGGTGTGCGTCAGGGTAGTATCCTTTCACCATGTCTATTCAACCTGTATTTTGAGCAAATAATCCGAGAAGCTGGACTATATGAAGAATGTGGCATCAGGATTGGTGGAAGTCTCACTAACAACCTCCAATATGCGGATGACACAACCTTGTTTGCTGCAAGTGAAGAGGACTTGAAGCACTTAACTGATGAAGATAAAAGACTACAGCCTTCAGTATGGATTACACCTCAATATAAAGAAATCAAAAATCCTCACAACTGGACTCTGTGCTAAATGGAGAAAAGACATTGTCAAGGATTTCATTTTACTTGGACTCACAATCGACACCCATGGAAGCAGCAGTAAGGAAATCAAACTACGTAGTGCACTGGGCAAATCTGCTGCGAAAGACCTCTTTAAGTGTTAGAAAGCAAAGATGTCACTTTGAGAACCAAGGTGCGCCTGACCCAAGCCATGGTATTGTCAACCGCCTCATATGCGTGTGAAAGCTGGACAATGAATAAGGAAGACCGAGGAGGAATGTATGCCTTTGAATTATCGTGTTGGTGAAAAATACTGAATATACCATGGACTTTCACAAAAATAACAAGTCTGTCTTAGCAGAAATACAGCCAGAGTGCTCCTTGGAAGCAAGGATGGTGAGACTTCATCTCACGTACTTTGGACTTGTTATCAGGAGGGACCAGTCCCTGGAGAAGGACATCATGCTTGGTAAAGTAGAGGGTCAGCAAAAAAGAGGAAGACCCTCGATGAGATGCATTGACACAGAGGCTATAATAATGGGCTCAAACATAACAATGATTGTGAGGATGGTGCAGGACTAGGCAGTGTTTCGTTCAGTTGTACATGGGGTTGCTATGAGTCGGAACTAACTCGATGGCACCTAGCAACAAGAAAATCCAGCTACAGCTTCCTCAGACTAGCTCCTTTTCTGTGTTCCCTGCTTAGGGTGTTGTTACCCAGCTCCATCCCAAAATGGCTGTGGTGAGTGAACACTCCTGATGTTAGTGGGTAGGATCTCTCAGCTTCTATGCCGACCCTGTTCTTCCTCTTCCCCGCTTCTGGGCTCAATACGATTCTCCAGCTCCTCAGCTGCTGCCTGGAGTTCTGAGATCTCAGTCCGTGCTTTTTTTAACTCGTTTTCAGTGGGTTAGTTGCTGCGAGAGTAAATGGGAGTATCCACTCACTTTGCCATCTTGCTCCCTTGGCCAGTGTCTTGTAAATGGTTTTTAGTTACATTACTTTTGACAAATTTTTAACCAAAATATTTATGAATAAGGCAAAGAATGTTATAGAAAGGATGCAAAAGATACACAGTGAATTTTCATTTTGGTGGAAATTCCCTTACAAATATTGGAACTTACTTAATAATTTCTTCATCAGAGATCACGGTTTCAATCTTCTGCTGGGGTTCTGCAAGCAAGGCCTCCAAACCACGAATGGCACCCTTCTTGAATAGCACTAGTGGTTCTGTCCCTTGTACTGAATGTATCCTACATACCTCAGCTGACAACTGTAAGAACATAAGCATATTTTAATTTTCATTTTAAAACAATTATCACCTAACAGAATAAGGACATTTACGGAAGATATACTTTTAAGGGGCTGATTTGTTTTCATTTTGTTTTATACGTGGTTCCAAAATCAAATCTACAAAATACATTTACAAGTCTAACTTCTGTTCTTATTTCCTCCATGCTGTCCCCTGCCTTCTCCCATAGGTAATCACTTTTATTTTTGGTTTATCCTTCCATGTGTTTTTCTCCCAGTAAGCAAACATTTATTTATACGTGTATTCATATTCAAAGGTAGCATTCTATATATACTTTTCTGCAACTTTCTTTTCTCACTTAACAGTATATGCTGGCGATTACTCCATAGCTGTGTGTGTGTGTGTGTGTGCGCGCCTGTGTGTGTGCGTGTGTGTGTGCGTGTGTGTGTGTTCCTCACCAAAAGGCCTGATTTTTAAACTAAGATTTCAAAATAATGATGAACACAGTCAGAGCTATGGGTGTGGGTCTGGAACAATTCTTCCAGAATTTACAAGCATTAATCACTATTTTGTCAGGTTCTGTCACCAGTCAACTAAAAAAAAAACATGCAAACAACAACCATCATCAGCAAGATGACAAAAACACCTAAAATTCTCGGCAGGTTTAGGGGCAGTAATACTACAAACTCATCAAGTGACTACACAACCTAAGTGCTTGACACACAGTAGCACCACCACCACATGGCGTTTAGTCAATTTCGACCCACATGTCTCAGAGCAGAACTGTGCTCCATAGGGTTTTTCAGTGACTGTGATCTTTGGGAATTAGATGGCCAGGACTTTCTTCAAAGGCACATCTGGTTGGATTCAAACAGCTAACCTTTCAGTTAGTAGACGAGCACTTAACTGTTTGCACCATCAGGGACTCTTTGACACATAGCAGACACCTAATATAAAAGTCACTAAGTGACTGAAATATAATTCCACTTTCTTCACAATAAATAAGTTTTTATTTATTTTCGGTTTATCCTTCTCTCTGAGCCTCATTTTCCTTATCTGTCAAGAAGGACTGTATATGAAGTATCTAAAAGTGCTTGAAGCATAAGAGATTTTCAATAAACAGCAGCTCTTATTATCTCATCTAATTTACTCATTTCATGGACAGTTAAGTCCTAAAGTGGTAAAACTTACTATCTACACTATGAATGACTGGAGATGGGAGGTACAAATAAAGCCACTAGTGCAGAGTTCAAAGCAGTTCTGGGGTCACACAAAGATCGACACCTGGAAGACCACGAAAAGATATGAACACTTTATGTGGGGTCAAAACAACTCCACTGCATAAAATTCAGGACTGTGTCACTTGTAATGCTACAGGTTTCAAGGGTCCAGGTGACAACTACATTACATCTGAATCAGCACTACTGTGAGCTACTTCTTAAGGGGCCAATTATATTTAGAATTAGGCTTTTCAGAACTGGAAGGAACTTTCAAGATTAACTTAGTTTGAGATCCTCATTTTATAGGTGAGAAAAGTTCATTAACACACTTTAGGTCATTAGTAGGAAGGCCATAGCTAGTCATGGTTCTTGTTTTCAGCATTACATGTCACTCTTAAAATGTACAATGTACGTAAAATCTGCAGGGTCTATTCTACCTGTTTTAGGGTTGGGCACAATGAGATTCAGTTGTTCTTATAAGGGAGTATCTCAAACATCTAAACTCATGAAAATAACTATAAATTCATCATCCATGAATTACTTAAATCCTCAGCCTCCTGTAATGATAAAGTCTATACTTCCTAACATATTAACTCATGAACTGCGACATGTTACCAAGATATATTGCAAGATAACTACAATGAAGAATCGATTATTATCTTTATGGTTAGTTTGCCAGAGACTTTAAGTAAAATGACACATGCTACATTACAAATCATTCCATTTCCCCAATAAATTAAGGAAATATGTTGGAAAATCCAAAAACTTACTGTAGCTTTAAATACTTTATCCAAGTTTACATCTTCATTATTCCATATTCTCAAAACCTTAAATCAAAACATACAAGTTAAAAAGTACCCCATTCACCATTTAAACATCTAATAAACATGAGTAGTTAATAAATCAACATTTGATGTACATGTTACATATCCGAAGCATCCCATTCTCCATTTGTTGTTGCTAGGTGCTGTCGCGTTGATTCTAACTCATAGTGACCCCATGTGACAGAACAGAACTGCCCAGAGGGTCTTTATTTTATTTTATTTTTTAAAGTACTTGATTGTTTTCTGTGAAAGTTTACACAATAAATTAGGTTCCGATTTAACAATTTCTACACAATTTGTTCAGGGACATTGGTAACATTTTTCAGTGTGTCAGTGTTCTCATTATATCCATTCTGGTTGTTCTGGTTCCAGTAATCCAGTTTCCCTGCCTCCCTTGCCTTCTCCCTTGTCTTTGCTTTTGAGTAAATGTTCACCGTTTGGTCTCATATAAATGATTTTTTAAAGAAGCACAGTACTCATGGATGGTCCATAGGTTTTTTTAGGCTGTAATTTTTATGGGAGCAGATTGCCAGATCTTTCTCCCAAGGAGCCGCTGGGTGGGTTCAAACTGCCAGCCTTTCAGTTAGCAGTTGGGCACTCAAGCCTTGCACCACCAGGGCTCCTCAATCTCCATTTAAATGTATAATAAACACAAATAACTAATAAATCAACATTTGATTTGTGTGTTGTATATCTTATTATATAAAGCTTTTAAAACTCACCCTGTCATCATGGACAACAATATACTCTCCAGTTTGAAAGTTGCACACAGCTGGACATGTTATAATTTGACCTTGCTTCACTGACCAGCTCCCCAAGGGTTTCTGATCAGATACCTAAAGAAATTTAAGATTAACATTTAATACTCAGAAAGTCAAATTCAGACATTAAAAGCCATTAACTTTACAATCAAAACACAAGAAACCATTAAAAATATGCCATTTACCAAATTTTCTAAATGAAAAAAATTCTTAGAATGAAAATATAAATATAACTAAGTTCCTAAAATGAAAAAATAAGTAACAAACTTTGCTAATAAACCATAGTAAATTTTAAAACTGTTTCCCCTTTGCCTTCGAAAACCAAAATAAGTACGTCAACCTTTTGAACAAACAGACAATTTGATCAGGGACATGGGAAATATAGTAAAAATAGCTGGGATCGTGTCAATTTCAAATAGCCACTGTCTTCTTATCCAGGAATTGCAAAGCTGCAAATTCCCTTGACAGTCCAGGTAAAACCTAACGGTATCATTTAATCAGACGAGTCAAAACAAGCCACAGTATAGGGAAGGGTTGACAACTTTTCCCAGAATCTCAAAGTAGATAGATAGCTTCTTAAAGACTCAGAAAAATGTGTTAAGCAGATCAGATAAAAATAACGCTTTCTACAAAGACCACTAAAAGCAAAGCCGGTTAGAGGGCTGAAAAGGGGGCGGGGCGTATGGCTTTCCTGGGACTCAACTACGGACTTCTCAGCGTGAACCAGAGTTGCAAACTGACAGGCCACCCAGACCCAAGATTCCCCACCACCCTATCAAGAAAGCCAAAAAGGCATTTTCCCTCCAAGGAGAGGGGAGATGAAGTGTATAGACACAGGACTAATCAATCCACTGTTTCCACCCTGTCACTGTCATCCTCTCCCGCCCAACCAGTGTTCGCTCGACCCTTCAGTGGGTAGCTGGGGTGGCAAAATCTCCAGAAAAGAATCTTAGCAAGGCCATATCAGGGAGATCCGAAGTGAAAGCACTGGCCTTGTTAGCCCACGTGCCCTCACACGCTCTGCCCACAACTCGGAAACATGCCTCCAGATTCTAGACCTCATTCAGCGTCCCGGAGAGGCCAAGCCGGCTCTCTGCTAAGCCTACTCCACAATCCCCTTCCGAAGACAGGAGAGCCGAGAAACCTGAGCCTCTGCCTCCGCGCTCAGAAAGGGGCGAGGTGGCAGCAGGGATGCTCCGACTTTATCGTCCTCACCTTATAGAGGATGACAGTCCTGCCACTGTGTGTCACCAGAAACTGGTCTGTTCTGTCGCTAGGTTCCACGCCTAGGAGTCCGTCAGGCCCGGCGCTCAGGGGTACACCAGACAACGTGAACTCTTCTTCCAAAGCTGCCATCTTGGGCAAACCTATGGAGGGCCGAACATCCTTCCCGGCAGGCCTCGCGCTTTCTCGCGAGAACAAGCGGGCCTGATGGGGTGGGTACTTGCCAAATGAGAAACGGGCTCTCGTAGTCCGCGACCCCTGGCGGGTGGAGGGGGCTTGTGGCGCGGCCAAAACGTCGGTGGGCGGGGTCTGAGGCCGGGTCTTGTTGTTTGCGCGTAGACTCCGCCTCCACAGGCCACGCCTCCCAGCGAGTCCCGGATGTGCTCCTTTTTGCGGGGGAGGAAATCTTTCCTGTAAAGTACTGTATCTTGCGTCTCATTGAGTGTACAGATTTGTGACAGAGGGTGAAGGTTGGGCTTGGGAAGTGGCTGAATATAAACTACTTTTTAAATTTTACTTTAAGTAAGCCATCTAGAAATTCCTACTATGGCCTCGTGGGACAGTGTACCAGAAATATATATACGTGTATACACATGTAAGGTCTCTTACAGCCAACAGGAAATTCAAGCTAGGCTAATGAAGAAGGTGAAGTTGAAGGTACCTCAGGCAATTTTTGGCAAGACTTAATTTCCGGGAGGGATTTGTTTGTAAGATCAGTAAGACTGACAATAGTGTGAAAACAAAAAGTAAAGAAGTTGTGCATGCTTTTAGGGAGAAACCATCTAAATAAGTGATTACTAAACAAACTGAAAGGTACCATGTGTTGCAAAATGCTTCCACATCAGTTTCGGTTAAGCCTCCACGTGGATGGCCTTATACGTGGAGTTTCTTCATCACCACAACCTTGTTGTTAGATGCCATTAAGTCGATTTTCGACTCAAAGCAACCCGATGTGACAGTAGAACGGCCCCATAGGATTTTCTAGGCTGTAATCTTTTTTTTTTTTTCTTCTTTGAAGCTGAGATGTCTATATTTGGTTTCTAATTTTGTTGTGTGTGTGCTTTCGGTGAAAGTTTACAGCTCAAGTTAATTTCTCATACCAAGATTTATACACATATTGTTATGTGACCCTAGTTGCAATCCCTGTAATGTGACAGCACACTCCCTCTTTCCACCCTGGGTTTCCTGTGTCCATCCAACCAGCTCCTGTCTCTTCTACCTTCTCATCCTGCCTCCTTACAGAAGCTGCCCATTTGGTCTCAATATGTATCTGCTTGAACTAAGAAGCACACTCTTCACAAGTATTATTTTATGTTTTATAGTCCGGTCTAATCTTTGTCTGAAGAGTGGGCTTCAGAATGGTTTTAGTTCTACGCTGTAATCTTTATGGAAGCAGATCCCCAGGGCTTTCTCTCACGGAACTGCTGGATGGGTTCAAATCGCCAGCCTTTCAGTTAGTGGCCAAGTGCTTAACCGTGCAGCCCTAGGGCTCCTTGCCACAACATTACAGCACTCGAAGAAGGATAATAGTCCTTCAGCTATTGTGGAGGAAACAAATACAGTAAATTCTTATAAGGCTAATAGGCGTTTTATTTTTCAAAGTGACCAAAAAATTTGACTTTGAAAATGTGTAGTCTCTTTGTAGTTGGAAAAGCAATACTGTGTTGAGATTTCAGCCTATGCGAAAACTTCCTCTCCCTCCCAGCACAGATAATCAACTCCTCTATTGAACCTTGTTTGGCATACTTCCCGTATTTCAGATCTCAGTCTAGACTTCTCCTCCTCCTCCAGGAAATCTTCTCTAACTCTCTAAGATGGTTTAGTGTCTGATTTCATGGCACCAGTGCTATTGTAACATGTGCCATCAAGTACTGGGATGACCTACCTACTCATGTATCTCCCTCATTTTATGGCTATTTCTTTGAAGTATCTCTGCTTTTACCACTAGTGTCTGGCACAGTGTCTGTCTCATAAATTTATGTTGGACTAATGAATGAACTCATCATGGCGACCCCATGTGTGCACAGTAGAACTGCTCCATAGGGTTCTCAAGGTTGTGACCTTGGAGGAGCAGATTGCTAGGCCTGTCTTCTGAGGCGCCTCTGGGTGGGACTGCCAACTTTTTGGCTAGGAGCCAAGTGCTTAACCATTAGCACCATCCAGGGACTCCATGCGGTCACCATAGTGAGAATCAACTACACAACAGCTACCAACAGTAAATGAACATGTGTAACTCTAACACATAAGTGAAAGCATATTCATAATATGGAATTCGTACCTTCCCTTGTCTTCAACTTGAAGACACTAAAATAGGGATTCTCACATTTTGTGGTTTCAGGACCAGTTCTCATTCTTCAAAATTATTGATGACCTCTGAAGAGCTTTGGTTTATATGAATTATATCTATAGATATGTATTGTATTAGACATTAAAACTGAGGAATTTAAAAAATATTTTTTAATTCATTTAAAAATAGTAACAAAGGCATTGCATGTTAGCATAAATAACATTTTTAGGAAGAACAATTTCAAAGATAATTTAGTGAGAACTGTGGCATTGTTTTACATTTTTGCAAATCTGTTTAATGTCTGGCTCAATAGAAGATGGTCGAAGTCTCACATCTGCTTCTGCAGTCTGTTGTGGCATCACACAGCATGTAGCTTCTGGGCAGCTCTATGGTGCATCGAAAAAGGCAAATAATAGTACATCTCAGTATTGTTATGAAAATAGTTTTGACTTCATGGACATCTGAAAGGATCTCAGGGTTCCCAGGGGTTCCTGGAACACACTTTGAGAACCATGATACCTATACTTGCACTTTAAGAACAAGTACGTTGTTGTTGTTAGGTGTCGTCATTTCCGACTCATAGCAACCGTATGTACAACAGAATGAAACACTGCCCGGTTCTGTCATCCTCACAACTGTTGCTATGTTCGAGCCTATTGGTACAGCCATTGTGTCAATCCATATCATCGCGGGTCTTCCTCTTTTTCACTGACCCTCTACTTTACCAAGCATGATGTCCTTCTCCAGGGGCTGGTCCCTCCTGATAGCATATCCCAAGTATGTAAGATGAAGTCTCGCCATCCTCCCTTCTAAGGAGAATTCCAATGCACTTGGATATTCCTCTGTAAATTTGAGTCTAAGTTTGGTAAACTATTAAAGGAGGAGGTTGCAATCCTTTTTGGGAGAAATACCAGCTGTAATGAAGGAACTAGGAGTCTTTTGCAACCTAGCCTAAGCTAGGAATGGGTCAAAGTGTTCTACTTCCAAGATGCATCAATCAAGGTCAATGAGCAGAAACAGAGCCTGGCTATCTATCACTGGTTAGAGACATGTAAGGGCTGGTCTTCAAAAGCAGCTGTGACCCTGTATGTTTCACTGTGTGCTGTGGCTGTTCTGTCTGGGTTGTTTGTCATGTTTATGCTGCCTGGCTGCCTGGCTGTGAAGACTAGGGGAAGATATCGTTTCTCACATTCAATTCCTAGAATAGAACTAGGTGGTAAATATACAATGAAGAAGTCTAATTACGTAACAGGTATGAAGGGATGCTTGCCGGTAGTCAAAAGGAAGGATGTTACCCATTATGGATCTTTCAGGGAAGGTTGACAGTTGGTGATGTGCACGTGGCATGAATGGGGTGTAGTAAGTGCTTTGTCAAAGAACATTTATAGAAGGACTGTTCTGCAAATAAGATGGAAGGTAGGTATGTGTATCTGTATTTCACCAAATCTCTGTGTTATATGAAAGCTGTGATGGTTCTTAAATAAGGTCTAAGGTGCTTCAAAGGAGCCCTGGTGGCACAGTGGTTAAGAGTTCAGCTGCTAACCAAAAGGTCAGCAGTTCAAATCCACCAGCTGCTCCTTGGAAACCCTATGGGGTAGTTCTACTCTGCCCTATAGGGTTACTATGAGTTGGAATTGACTCTACGGCAACTATGTTTTACAGTTTTAGAAGCTCAAAACACCTTTGAGATAAATGCTCAGATCATATTAATGAATTGAAGAATGTTACCAGAACTTAGGCAGACACCGCTGAAGATGACTTACCCACAGCAGAAATTGGTGATAGAGGAATAATGTAAGGTCTTTTGTCATAATTTGGGGCATATATTTCAACTGAGTGCTAGCACCTGCCCAGTGAGTTCCCAAACCAAGAGTATTTGGAATCTGGGGTCAAGCAAACCCCTGTTACTTAATTGTAACAGGACCTCGGCAGAGGAGTTTTAGTTGGGTGGCCAGAGTATTCCTTTAGCGTCTACAAGAACCCAGAATCCAGAAATCTTCAGGAACAATTTGGGTAACTAGTCATCACTAGGGGTCCAAGCAGTGACCAGAGTACCGGAAAAGTGAGTGCTGGCAGATGGATGAATAAACAGCCTAGAGAGAGGTCTGGCCACTGGAAGTAGTTTCCAGTTGCTGGGCCAGGGATCAGGAGTGAAGCAGGAGCAGGAGAGGGCTTCAGACCTGGCCAGAAACCACTGGTACTTCTTGTCTCTTAGATCTAAACTGTGCCAATGCATTCATTCATTTCACAAATACTGATGAGTGCTTTTGCCAGTTACCAGTTGCTGTCAAGTCAACTCCAACTCATGGTGACTATGTGTGTCAGAGTAGAACTGTGCCCCATAGGGCTGATTTTTCAGAAGTAGATCCCCAGGCCTTTCTTGCAAGGCCCCCATGTGTGGACTTGAACCTCCAACCTTTTGGTTAGCAGTCGAGCATGTTAACTCTTTGCACCACACAGGGACACCTGAGGAGTGCCTAGGAGCTGTGAATGCAGCAGCAAATGAGACAGACAAGGTTCCTGTTCCCAGAGAGCTCACAGTCCTATGGGGAGAGGCAATCTGCTCAAGAAAAGCTTCTTCGAGGGTGGGACCTTTCTGGTGAGATTTGATTAAAAAGATTTCTGTTTTGAAAAGATCAACTCATAGAGGATAAATGTCGGAATGGAAAGACTGGTGTTGAGACTGTAGCCGTTGTCTAGATGTGAGGTGATTGTGGCTTGTGATAGGTGCTAACAGTGGAGAAAGAACATGGACCAATTCAGGATGCAGTCTGGAGGCAGAGCTGACAGGATGGCTGATGGACTGAGTGTGAGTGGTGTAAAAAAAATCAAGGGCATGCCCTGGATGTTTGCCTGGAGTGACCAGGTGGCT